CAAGGGCGTCGGCGTAGTGGTACAGGTGGCTAGCGTTCTCATCGTCCAGCACCCCTTGCAGGAAGCCCTCGCACAGCGAGAGAAGGTCCGTGAGGGTGTACTGTTGGGGTTTGTGATGTGGGTAGGGTTTTGTGGTTGCCGGCCGCACGAGAGAGAGAGAGAGGGAGAGAGAGACAGACAGATAGAGGGAGAGATATGGAGAGAGAGAGAGAGAGAGGGAGAGAGAGAGATGGATAGAACAAGAGGGAGGGAGAGAGGGAGAGAAAGGGAGACAGAGAGACAGAGAGACAGACAAAGGCACGACACGCAGCAAATGGCGCTTAGTTTCGTATGTGATGAAGCATATACTCCGTACTGTAGCAACAACGAACCAAACGAGCGATAGAACAAAAAACCCTGCAGCACCTTCTATGCACACATGCTGCCGGTGGGTCGAGATGGAAGCAGTCGCGGCAACACCGCAAAACGGCCGTGCATATGCCCAATACTTGCGTCTTCGCTACACCAGGACTCAATCCCGTATACCTATTTTGAGCTGGTGACCGACAACAATAACGCCCCCCCTCTGCTCTGCTTCCAAAGCACGGCAGAACTCTACACAAAAAAATCAAACCAAGGGACAAAACACAATTTAAGTCCGAGGAGTACAAGGTATCTCCGCTGCTGGATGCTCATGAGAGAACGGCAATGCCATCAACGGGTGATGCACGACAACAGCAAAACATAGCAGGAAAAGAGCTGGCTGCCAGCTGCCTTTTACAACGTTTCCCCCAAGGTCAGCAGCCCACACAGCCAACGCTATTTTGGGCTCGAGCAGCCAGCGCAGCCAACCTCGCAACGAACAAAAAAATCTACGTTCAGCCTTATTCGTATTTAGGACAGCCACGTATGGTAGTACAGCCGCTACAGCTTTCCGGTGGCATTGGATATGCATGGGTTGGATTTGTTTTTCTGAGGAGGAAAGAAATTGGGGTTTTCTGATAAGGCATATGGTTGAAACGTACTCGTTCAAATCCTGACGAAACTTCCGACGCCTGAGCCTGGATTAAATTAAACATCGTTATTTTGGTGATCATGCGCGCGCACAACGCACGAATCAATATTGGCTCTTGTTTTACGTTTTTTTCGGGAGCAACGCGAGGCCCCTAACCTGATTGGCTACAACCAGGAGTTCAGTGATGTCTTCCGGCCGCTGCAGCTGGAGGGTGTCGGTGTAGAGGTAGGTCAGGAGAGCCGTGAACACCGCTGGGCGGATGTCCTTGACCAGTACGTCCATCGTGAACGATTCTCTCATGCCTGGTCCAAGCAGCGGTGGGAAAGCGTTAAGGGTTGGGTTGATGCGGTACTTCGTAAAGGCGAACATTTGTCTCACGTCTGTTCCAAGCAGTGGAAAGCGTAGAGGAAAGGACCAAGCATTGCTTTATGAAGGCGAAAAATTCTCCCATCGAAGCAGCGGAAAGCGTTGAGGTTCGACAAAGAGGAAGCACTGACTTCTTAAGGCGAACGTTGCTTTCATGCATGGTGAAGCAGCGGAATCCTTGAGGGTTGATAAAAGAGTACCCAGCATTACTTTGTAAGGCAAAACGTTTCTATCATGCCTGGTACCCCCAGTGGGAGGGGTTGAGGGTTGACAAAGAGTACTTTTAGGGCGAACGTTGCTCTCGTGCCTAGTCGAAGCGGCGGAAGCGTTGAGGGTTGATAAAGAGTACCCAGTATTACTTTGTGAGGCAAACGTTGCTCTCGTGCCTGGTACCACCAGTGGAAAGTGTTGAGGGTTGACGAAGAGTACTTTTAAGGCGAGCGTTGCTCTCGTGCCTAGTCGAAGCGGCGGAAGCATTGAGGGTTGATACCGAGCACCAAGCGATACTCTCAAGGCGGACGTACAACGGATTGCTGCTGTTGAAGCGAGCCCACAACAATACAGGCCTCCCCCGCGTCAGAGGCCAGCGACGCTTTCTTGCCTTTGGAGCGAGCCGTTCAACAAGCCGTATGCCCCAGACAACACCTACACACCTACACACCTGATCGTGTCGTACCATGAAGATCCCAAATTGAAACACATCTGGTCGTTAGCATTTTCTATTTCTTTGTTTTCTCTCCGTGTGTGCGTATCTCAGCGCTCCTGGAAATGGCTTTTTACAATTTCTCTCTCTCTCTCTCTCTCTCTCTCTGAATCTGATCACATCTGGTTGGTGTTCGTGCTATTTCGAAGTATCTTGTTGTCTCTCTCTCTCTCTGTGTATCTCACTGCTCCCGAATGACTATTTAGAAGTATCTCTTGTTGTCTATATCTCTCTCTCTCTGTCCCCTCCTCTCTCTCACCGCTCCTGAGCATAGCCCTCATCGGATCACTCCTCAGCGACAAGAGCGCGCGGTGAGCATCAATCGAGTCCTTCGCACCACCACCCTCCCCCGCTGGCGGCGCAGGAGCCTTGTCGGCAACGGCCCCGCCCCGTCGCCGCCCCCCTTCCAGCTCCGCCTTAACGGCAGCAGCCTCTGCCTCTGCCTCTGCGGTCTCGGATAGACCAAAGAAGCGCCGCTTTCCGCCGGCGGCGGACCGGTGTCCCGACCCGAGGGGGGACAGCGAACAGGACGGGGCCAGGGGGGGGGTGATGACGGCCCACCTGTTTTTGGGGCTGACAGACCTAGATAAGGGCGGCGGCCAAGAAAGGCGATAGGGGGGAGGGGGAGGAGGTGGAGGTCGTGAGAACGTGTGGGTGGGGTGGAAGCTGATGTGAGCGACTGAATATCATCATCGTGCGGGTTTAGTGCAGAACCTGTTCAACCTCTCCAACGAACAAGTACAAACAAAAGGCAGCAAGTACAGGACCAAATCTCTAAAAAAACTCGCCGCCCCCTCCCTTCTTCTCTCACCTAGAACTCTCCCACTCTCGCCCCGCAGACGACCGCATCACCACGCTCTGCATCCTGCCGCTCCGGGTCTTCCAACCATCCCCCCCAGTATTCCCGCTCGCGACACCCCCCGGCCCTCGCCCCACCCCCACTGCTTCGCCGGGGTCTTCCGGCAGCTTGGAGGGAGCAGCAGCCGCAGCAGCAGCCGTGATTTCATCGGCACCAGCAGGCCGGGGGGACCGGGACCAAGCCGGCGAAGACAGTGGAGACTGCGCGGGAGGCGGCGGAGATGGCGGGGGCACTATCGCGTAGTGAGCCGTGTTGGTGGGGGTCGTCGGAAGGGCGAAGTCGACAGCCTGCAGGGTGTGCCACGTGATGGGTTAACGACGCACCAACAAGAAATGCTTGGGCGGTGAATGCTTGAGCGGTGAATGCTGAGCGGTGGAGATGCTGCGTACATGAACGCCACCTCGAGAGGTGCCCTACGGCCGTGTAACCTTTGAGCTTCCACGGCAATTGCAGCACAAAACTCGTTTGTGCTCCACGGGGGGGGGGGGGGGGG